GAGAGAGAGAGAGAGAGAGAGAGAGAGAGAGAGAGAGAGCTGCACTTGGGCATTACGGTCCTACAGCCATAATCCACATGGCCTGGCATTCTCTACAATCTGGCCCTCAGCCGCCAACTACCAGACCTAATAGAGGCACAATTCAACCCCCTGCTGTTTCAGGCTACACATCTTTCGCTCTGAACTCATACCCATGCCACCTGATCTCTTCCCCATAGAGCTTTCCCACTTCCTCAAACATACAACAATTCCTGGTCACAGCTGATATATTCTTATTTCCTAAGAAACGAGCCTGTCCACAGTTCCTCATTCCCACAGACTCACCACGTTTACTGTATACACTGAAACTGTGGCACAAACAGACACACACACTTCCTTCACACCGAAGTTCATCTGAACCTCACCACTCATCATTAGAAATATGAAAGGAAAGCTGGATTTAGACTGGAGATGTACTGAAAATTCAATCTCAGCTCAGTTTGAGAGTTTGAAAGCTATCACTGTTATTGAGAAACGTAAGAACAAACAGTCACGTTCAAACGATAAGTCAGATTTTGAACGGTAGACGACTCTGACGGACACATTTTAATTTTTTATGTAAGAAATATGACAAGTTAAAAAGATCCTTCACTTGTAATTTTAAAGAATATTGTGAATTTAAACAAACTGTCTGTAGAAGCTTCTATGGAAACAGTGAAAGATACACTTGAGTAAGGAAAACAAAAAAAAGCCCATGTTTTAATGTGTAATTTGTCTGTACATCAAAAAGAAATACAAAGAGTTTGTTCATGAAAGATTACAAAATTTCTGTAAAAAGTTACCGACAAGTAACAGGACCTTTGTTGTATTGATTTTAATGCGGCCTAGATTTAATGTTTTTACAGTCTTACTAGCCTGGTTTAAACCGGACCCTGTCCTTCACTTTGCTTCGTACAAGGGTCTGGACTTTCTGCATAGAGAATCGATTTCTTGAAGGAGGCGTGGCCTCTGCTGAAGTTTAAAATGATTGGATCAGTTGGCTGCGACCATGTCGCTGTGACGGAGGCTAAGCTAAGAAGCTAACCGGAAATCGCGTGTGCTGTAAACAACCCTACTGAGAGGAGAAATATACCGAGCCGAATGAGACGACTGTAAATGAGAGCTGCTGCTTTGTCAGATAAATTTAATTTCATTTGGAAGCCTTATCAACACAGACTGGCTTCATTCACTTCCTCCACTGCCGTATGCTAAACTAACTAGCTGACACTGCGCAGAAAGTCGACGTTGTTCAAAGCTCCTCCTTCTGTTCTCTGATTGGCCCAGGTAAAAATAAACTACAAGCAGACACTGAGCAGAAAATTGACGTTCTGTTCTCTGATTGGCCCGGTAAAAATCTTCCAGTGAAATCCATCTCAATGGGAGAAGTCCCCGACGGAGCAGTGAAGGGAAACTAGAATTGAGCGGAGCTGCGTGTGGCAAGGGCCAGGCTAGGTCTTACAAAAATATTTAGAAAAATTTTCTTTGGACTTTGGCAGCTTTTACCTTCATTTGTATATATGTGTGTGTGTGTGTGTGTGTGTCAAAAAAAGAAGATAAATGGACTATACTTATATAGCACCTTTCTATCCGAACAGGATACTCAAAGCACTTTACATTACAATCTGTGCCCTCATTTACCCATCCACACATACATTCACTCTAGATGTGTCTACAAAATTAAGACAGATACATCAATAGAGACTAATCAGTGCTTAAACCACACTCATWCACTGATGGGACACACATCAGAGGCAGAGGGGCTTCAGTTTCTTGCCCAGGGACACTGTGACATATAGGACCGAATGACGATAGGATTGAACAGTTAACTCTTGCATTAGAGGAACGACAACGACTACCCTAACCACTCTGCCACAGCCGAGAATAAGAAAAGAGAACAGGTAGAGGACAAAAAATAACTGTCAAACCAAACAAAATACCTGTCTATCAGCAGATGAAGACTGAAAGTCGTGTGTGTAAAAAAAGAAGGGAAAAATTCAAAGACCAGACAGCACCTGAGATGCATCATCCTTTACTTGATCTTTGGGATTCACCTTGTTGTTCTTAACAGGGTATTTTATGAGTCAAACTGTGCTATCTTTGGTATTTTTTTTACAAAAGTATTTAGCTGTATTTTTTTCATACCTGACTGATTCATAGGTCAGAGTTAAGTGGTTGGGCAAACTCAAATTTTCTCTGCAAGCTTTTAGGTACGAGAACAGAACTGTGAAAGAGTAAAAACACAGCCCAAGTTCAAAGAAAAGTTTTTGAAAGACCGTGAAAAAAAGCCCACAGATGATTTTACCTTAAAACATCACTACACCCTCTGGCTCACTGGAAACAAATTATAAAGAAATGAGTGACTTCGGGCTGATTCAGCGTTGTTGGAAGAGCCCGTACTGTAACAACAGGAAGTGCAACAAATACACAGAAATCTTCTTACACATCTTTCAAAATCCAAAAGCTTCTATCTTTCATTGGTATATATATATATATATTTTAAAAAAAGGTCAAGCAGAAGTGGAATTACCCCAGTTCTTTTTCTCCCACTTYGGAGGGGGTAGAAATTTGTTGAACATCACATGGTTCTAAAGGTGTTTTCCAACACTTGTCAAASAGGGCCTTCCCTTTTTTTAAGTCCATTGGTTGGTGTTTTTCTTACTGTTGCCACAAGGGGGGGTCAGTTACAGTAAAGCCCTGGTCAAAGCAGAGCCCTATGGCAACAGATGCACAGAACAAGGACTCAATTACATCACGACAACCACATTTATTATTGTTATGATTATTAATAATATTATTATTAATATTTCTTGTGAATATTATTATTATTAATGTTGCTCTTATTACTTATGTTGCCTGATAAGAAGGCTACTTATCTAAGATCATGTAGGAAACACAGAGTGTGTGGGTTTATGWTGTCTCATTTCCTGACTCTTACAAACAGTGTGAGTGTGTTGTTGGGGGGCAGATAGAGAGAGGGAGATATAGACTTGCCCAGAGGAGGAGGAGGAGGAAGAGGGGAGGCTCCTGATACAAAGACACGGAAAAGCAGGGGGGAGAGAGAGAGAGAGAGAGAGAGAGAGAGAGAGAGAGAGAGAGAGAGAGAGAGGCAGGGTCTGGTGGTGGAGGAGGAAGAAGAGGAGATAGGGGAGTTGGAGAGAACCGGGGTGGGGGGGAAATAACACTTGACAAACAGCGCACAGAGGAGAGGAGGGACAGTACCTCGCGCGTTGGACGTCCCCTCCTTTCTGGTCTCGGGCTGTCACGGCAGATTGGACTCGGAAGAGAGGAGCGACACGGCGGCCACCCCAGACCCCATGGGGTAACAGGTATGTCTGACTTCCTCCTCTCATCTCTCCGGTGCCCCCCCCACCCACCTTTCATTCAGACGCGGCGCACGTCGCAACATATTTCTTCGTCTCGTGCCAACAATTAGTTTATTGGCTCGCGGACGGACGGACGAACGGAGCCGCGCCGACAGCTGATAGTTGCACAGGTTGGAGGCATCATGTCAACTCTTCTTCCACTCTCTCTGAAGGCCTGCCTGCCGTTTGTTTATTTATTCTCCTCTTAGTTTTTTTCCTCTTTTATTACAATATTCACTCCTCCTTTATGTTGCTGTTGGCATCACGCTAAACCGAGAGCCTCGAGCGAATTCTGACAGCCGACCAGAGCGCGAGCTAAGCACGCCTACCTGCTCCATACGTGACAGCCAGCTGCCTGTTCTACTGCGCGTGCTGATGTTTGGAGAGGCTGTCACCCAGCCACAAAATGACCCTTTCTTACTTTTTTAAAAACATTATTTTTTTACACATTTGTAAAACCAGATAACTTTTTACGTGTCTGAACATATGTTCTATACATAAAATATAACTTTTATACTAATTGGAGTATAGTTGGAGACAATTATCAGTGAAGGAAGGGAGCTTAAACTGTCCCCCTCTTCTTCCTCTATCTTCTTCTTCTCCTAACCCCCAAAAAGGGGATTTCTCCGGGTGGAAATTTCTGCTGTCAACACCCAACCCTATAAAGCTGTGGTTCCTCAAAGTTGGGGTTAGTATTGTGGGTCATAAGGCTATAGTTTTGAGATGAATCCAACAGCATTAAGAAATAGTTTCTACTAGTTTTTACTATAGTTTTCTCAAATAGTCATAAAATGGGGGCCAAATAACAGAACATGAGTTGAATCTTCTTGTGTTGTCTTTATTTTCCTTTTTTTTACTTGCTAATGTGAAGTTCCCCCCCAAAGACATTTGGGTTATGTGTCAGGGCAAGAAAGTGGAGATTTTATTTATT